CAATCCCAGACCAACGTGCAAGAACCGTGACAGATGCAGTAGTTAGACACATTGTTGCAGACCACGGCGTACCGAAGACAATACTGACAGACCAAGGTCCCTGTTTCGAGAGTGAAGAGTTTACTTCCCGTTTGCAACAGCTGGGCATCAAGAGGATCAGAACGACCCCATACCATCCACAAACGAATGGCCTAACGGAGAGAAACAACCGTACACTGAAGGAGTGGCTGGCCTCGAAGGGCGGGAACTGGGAAACGGAGCTTCCACTGATTTTACTAACACATCGGGCTACCACTCAGGAAACAACGAAGAAGTCACCCTTCCAACTGATGTATGGTAGAAAACCACGATTACCGGTACACAATGAGACCTGGCCCATGCACCAAAAGTGGAGTACGACGAAATTAAAAGCAGAGAGGAAAGAGGCAGTCAAGAATGTAATACGGAAGCAGCGCAGTGATGTCACGAAGTCTCAGATGAAAGAAAGGACGCAGTGCATTACCTTTGCAGTCGGGGACCAAGTGAAGTGTAGAGACAGGAGATATACAGTTGGAGGCGGGCTAGGTTCACGGAAACTCCTTCCAAAGTGGGAAGGACCATACACAATCACAAAAAGACGGGGTCAAGTATATACCATCCGAAGAGGTGATAAACAGAAACGAGTTAACGCCAGTCAGCTCCAAAGATGGGTACAGTGGGACAAGCCGGTCAGTAACAATCCTCAACTAGAGGATGTAGCACCCAGAAGGTCGGAACGTCTGCGCACGAAGCTATTTGACGGGGGGACGAGTGTGGTGAGAGCAGGCTGCTAGCCGATTGGTTGGCACTAATCTACGTTAATGTCTAGGTCACTAATATGGGCCGTGAGAAAATATGAACAAGGCTGTTTCAACAACCAATCACAGCAAACTTAAATGTGGACAAATATGATTCGCAGATAGATGGCTCTACTTTCCGAGAAATATCGAAAACAACCAATCATAAGACTGTGTTTGTCTGCTTAACTTCCGAGAAACAACCAATCAGAAGACTGCCTTTTTCTGCTTGCATAAGCCTTATTAATGCACATAAAATATATATAAATACGTGTTGATTTTCGTAATAAAACGATCTGTTGCCAGCCCTTGTCTTCTGTTGTTACACCATGATCATTATCCCGAATGTTCAATTTATCATCATCTATCTGGTCAACTCCATCAATTTCAAACTCTTTAATAACAGAAGTAGACAATTTTGGTTCCTTCTCACAAATCCCCAAAGATTTTATACCTTCACTCTGACTAGTAATACCTCGTAAACTTGTGGAGTCAGAACTGTCCTCTGAGACTGTAACTCTCTTCTTCAACAATGGCTTACCAGTTGCAACTACAGACTTCCTCACCACACCGTTATCGTCACACAATTCGGAGTCAGACCTGGTTTTCACATTTAGCTTATCCCTGAACTTGCTCACTGGTTCACAGTTCACCTTTGTATGCACCTCTTGCAAACGAGTACAACACAACCGTGTTTGTCTTGCATCTTGCAACTTATCTGTTGACGATGTACTACGAAACCTGTTACACTCACTAGACCTATATGCATTACTAGACATCATGGAGCCTTCTCGATATCCACCTCTCTGAGGCCTATTCGTCATCAATGAGTGCGTTTTACCCTCAGACTGCTCTATTCTAGGGGTGAGATGTAATATACTGGCAAACTTGCTCATAGATTGATTGACACTAGTATTTACCAGTTTCAGGATATCATCAAATTTTGGCTCGATACCTTCATCCTGCATACGGGAGCTTATCTTCACCCACTTCCTTTGCAGTCGAGTAGGTAGGCGTCTTGCTATTACTTCTAGTATAAAACTCGAGTTGTGGTCACTCATGCAATTCATCGAAATCAATGCATTCTCGTAAATCAGCAAATTATCCGAAAACTCAGTGAGTGCCTGGGAGTCATCCTGTAATTGACCACCATTACCCTCAACAGCGTCGAATAATTTCCCTGCAATCATCGAAGGCCTTCCAAACCTTTGACGTAATATGCTCAGAGCCTCGTAGTAGCCCTCTTTTGGCTTCATAAACTTACAGCACTGTAAAGCTCTTGAAGCAACTCCAGTGCAATACCTCACAAATACATTAACTTCAATTCATCACTTGATAGAAAACTACTCAACATGATTTCAAACTCCTTTACAAATTGTAAATAATCAGCTGGGTTTCCATCAAAACATCGTGGTTGTAATTTAAGGAGTTTGATGTTCCTATTATCCCTGAACGGCGAAACAGTAACATCAACCATATCATGCTTAACATCAGACACATCGTCACAATTAAAGGACAAGTCACAATGACTTACTTTCCTGCTTGCATCCGAGACACTCTGTCCCTTCTTTGACCCAGGCATTGTTGAACTTGACCCAATTCCAAAAAGGTTCCAGATATTGCTTGTTCAAAAAGGACTTGACCGGCACCAGGAAATATGAACGGTGATTATCCAAACTGTTACCAGCTATCTGAATCCGCCAGAATCTGTTTCTACCGTCAGAAACTGTCAGCCACGTCTCATAAACCGTCAATGCCCAGCTCTCGCTACGCTGGGACTTACGCTGTTCCTTGAAGTTTCTCAGAAACGCTTAGTAATAACGGACGCAGAAACCAAAACACCGATTGGCCGCTTGGGAATTCTTTATTGCTACACCAACATATAAAAATAATAATTGGACTAAGGTCTGTGAGCAAATATTACAATAATAAATCACAATATTACTTCTGACGGTTTACTGCTGACTTCTTTCTGAACAGCGACCGATGAGACGATGACTGTCGTATTGATGCCTCCGCGAAAATTGGGGAAGTTGGTTTTGAGCAAACATCCACGAATCGATCGTTCAATCTTCAACTACATTGACATTTGTGGTATTCGTTCTTCTTAGACCAAAGCCAAAGCAAACACCAGAATTGATTGACCAAATTTCGAATTATATTTCGGGACCGAATCGAAGTACCAGATGATTCCTCAACGAACTAGGGATTGTGCACGAACGAATAGGCGTAACACGACGGCGTGCCGAGTGGCGAGAATGCTTGACAGTTAGCTTCCAGCGAAACAAATTGACTGAAACAGTGATGAATGCTGCGGCTAGTAATTTCGGAGGATAACCTAACGCCACAAGGAAAACGCAAATCGATCCACACATCAATATGTGCGCAATGGAAATGCTTTCAGATACGCCAACCATTCAAAGACAAGTCTGTACTTTGTTTCTCAGAAAATGTATTTTATCAAGGATGACCTGTGTCAATGCAGTTGAAGATTGAACGATCAATTCACGGTTGTTTGCTCAAAACCAACTTCCCCAATTTTCGCGGAGGCGTCAATACGACAGTCATCGTCTCGTCGGTCGCTGTTCAGAAAGAAGTCAGCAGTAAACCGTCAGAAGTAATATTGTGATTTATTATTGTAATATTTGTTCACAGACCTTAGTGGAAACATTTTTTATATGTTGGTGTTACAATAAAGAATTCTCGTGTGGCCAATCAGTATTTTGGTTTTTTGCTTTCGTTATTACTAAGCGTTTCTGAGAAACTTCAAGGAACAGCGTGAGCCCGAGCGTAGCAAGAGCTAGGCATTGACGGTTTACGAGACGTGGCTGGCAACCTACTTAATAAAATCCAACTGGTTGTTGGGGTTTCGAAGAGGTAAGACGTATGTGAGTGGTTACCAGTAGAGTTCAAATTTTCATTCTACTCGGATTAAGCATAAGTGAATTAGCAAGAAAAATGAAATAAGCACGTGATTTTAATCATATTTGAGCAAGCTTCGTGATCTTGAATACTACATACAGTAATTCACAATCGGGAAGTGACTATAAGGCATGATTTTTTTATATACTTATTTTAATTTTTGTTTACAGCTAGATTCTACACTGTATTTTTGGTACAAGTATGGAATTTTCAGCATGGATATCGGAAGCCCAAATTTTGCAGGCCGAACATAGGGTGTGGGTCGGCAGAGAATCGCACCTCGGACGATGTGTATGGTCGGCGAGAGTCCTAACCACTATGCCACCGACGCACATGAATGGGTGCGCTCATTTCCTCACTTGTAATTTTCAAATGAAAGATTGTACGAAATCGAACAAGCAATACGCCACCGACATCCATGGCCATATGGATCTAAAGCCTTAGAATCACTGATGTGGACAGAGTACATTTCGCCAACAGCTTTGTGAGTTACTATTTTGAAATTATCTCCAAGAAATGTCACAGATTGCCTACAAATTTTAACACTTCTACAGAATGGAATGATATTTTCATATATGAGCAAACTTAGTGATGGCCTATGGCCGTGAGTTCACGCCTAAAACTGGGTGTCACTAGGGTGTTCGAGTGATGAGAGTGTGACCTGTAGGTCGTGGACATAAGCGTCAGTCATACATGGACACTAAGTAGTGCGAGCTTAGCTTGAATGAAGTTACTGAAGTGGACTGCCAATCCAAGTATACACTAAAGTTAGGGAATCGCTTAACACTATTCAGATGCGAATACAAGTCAATCATAAGGTCTATTGCAGCACAGGACAAAGGTGATAAATTCGGTGATATCTGCGTCGGTGACACAGTGGTTAGGACTCTTGTCGACCATGCACATGGTCCGAGGTTCGATCCTCTGCCGACGCACACCTGATATCAATGGTCGGCCTGCAAAATTTGGGCTACCGATATCCATGCTGAGAATTCCATACTTGTACCAAAAATACAATGTGGAATCAAGCTGTAAATCAAAAATCAAAAAATAATCTTCATCTTAGAAACAAGCCTAGCTGTCGAATTACCAGCGCATAGAAAGCATATTCAATGTCTTTTCTAATTATAGAGTGAAACATACATACTCAGAGATTCTACAATCCTCATTCCCTGAAGAATTAGTTATTCCAATTTATATGTAGTATGTACCCCTGAAAATTGAAAGTTCTTACATTCATCTAAGTGGTCAAATTATTGCATGAAGGCGCCACGTATGCGTAGATTGAAGTGAGTGTTGTGTATGAAATTTTAAATCCCTACACATAGGCATATATTTTAAGATGATATTGATTTGCTTACTGGATAATCCAGAATTTGAGTTTGAGCAGCAGACTTTTCCTACATGGTTTTGACAAGATGCCTCATAGAATAAAAGGTTATAATAATAGTTACATAGCTCATAAATGAGGAAGTTCGCGAATTAAGTGCAGCTTACTCAACTAGATGAAGAACTTTGTATGTTAATTGGATACAGAGTTAGGGTCGACTTGAAAATTTCTGAACAACAGTACGTAGTTGCGTGTTACAATATACCCAGGTGGAGAATGTACTTAGTTAGAGTGAGAAAATGGGCAATATCGGTTGGGCTGATACGTGGCCAAAAGTTGGTAAAAGTGCAGCGTAAGATAGCCACTTCCACCGAGTTCCCAACATGTTTTCAACGGACAAACTACCTAGCAAGCTGGTGATGCATCATCTATGTCATTTCCAAAAATATTTGACTAAGTTGATGAAAATGTTCTCCAATAGGGCTTTGTATTTGACAGTGCTATATATCCTGTATATTATTGAAGTACCTGGGTTCACCAAGTCCCCTATGGTTCTGTAAATACGTGCCAAAAAGTTGAAGAAAGCCTAATGCGTACAACGACTACTTCCGTCGCAAACGAATCACAACAATCAGTTGGATTTGACCAAAGAATTCATACTCCCATAAATGTATCGGAGTCTGAATAGTGCACACAAATGTCACTGAATGTGACAGACAGAATTACATTGCTCTCATTTCAGGTGCACATGGAATTACGCGTCACCGTAAATCGTAGTCTACAGCCTGTGGCACACACAGTGACAGCTAGTAGGCTTAGATCCCTGGTCCTTTAGTAGAATCACCAGTGAAGTGTGTACCTTTTCGTATATAAATGTGGTGTGGTAGAAACTAGGAAAATGCATCCAGGGGACCAACCTTCGCCAGAAATAGAACTTATTACAGAAGGAGTTGAAAGGACAGTAACGCGTATGCCTATTGCAATGAGGAATCTATGGTACGAGGAGTGAAGTTGTGTATCTGTGATCTTGTCACACCGTAAGCAGACAGACCATCTACTCAGGATGTTCAAAATTATCAGAAGTTAGTGTGGAGTTGGTCTGTCTTCACTTTAGACATCAGGATCAGGATCAGAGTGGAGCACTGATTCTCTTATGGAGTGGTTAACTCGTGGATGCGACTTCCAGAAGCATTAGTGTTTGTAGCCTCAATCGACCTGTTGAAGAGGAGAATGAATAAGCTGAGATACCTATCAAGAGAGGATTAAAATAGGCCTAAATACTTGTACCTCGAAGTAAAACTTAAAAGATGTAGGACACTGTCTGTTAAATGTAGTTATGAATTTCATGTGTCCATGTCTGCTGAGGCCTGTTGAAGATGTTTCGAATAGAATCTCCCATCAAGCAACGGAAAGGAAATATTATCATAAACTGTAGTGATTAGGATTATACAGTAGCTAAATATATGCAGTCCTGCTCTCCTCATGGATGTGGTCTTATTGAGTTGCTGTATTGAAGTCCTGTATGTTTGTTCACCTGTCTCTTCGCACTACCCGGATAAGAAGAGTTTCAGATGCACTGGGGAATTTCGGGCTCATCTGAAAACGAACACTTGACACCTGTTTGCAGACGTAGGTAGTACGAAGAGTTGTTTCTTTTGAGGATGTTAAAAATTCTGGGGCTTGCCTGTGCTTGGAAGGTAAGGATTTCAGTTAAAAAACATCCTCGCAATATGACGGTCACACAATTTTAGTTTATTTTTGAGACATTCGGCCGCCGTAACAACCTAGGATAAAACTTTAGGGACTCTTAGTGGGTATCTCACACACTTTGATGTGGGAGTTGACTTTCCCTCCTTCAGATTTATGAGAATGTGCCGAAATGATGTGACGGCACTCTGAGGTCGTGCATCCCTGTTTTAGAGGGTGTGAAAGTCGCGATATCTTCTGGGAATGTAAGCGTGGTGTTGTGGATTTGTTTTGCAGCACTATCCATACAATTTTTGGAACTGTGGAAAGTAGTTCGAAGGATCCTGATGTGTCGTCACGGTTAGCATCTTTTGGGGTTTTGTGAATGCTGTAATGGAACCCGAGAGATCTTGTGAGGTTATGTATTATTCAATTTTGGAACTGACGAAAGTCATGTTGCAACACTAGGAATTAGCATAAAACAGCAAGTATGTCCTTAATACTATGAAATAATACTTATGTGTTTATTCTCTTCCTCTGCATTCATTTTGACTTTTCTGTATATATTCTTATATACTTTTTTGGTGCCTAGGCTGTATTAAATGTCTTAAAGTTGTAAGTATTGATGCCAGTATTTAGTTGGTCGGTCTACCAGGTCTACTGGATATTTATTTTTAGATATACTGTTTTGGTTTTGGACTGTATTTTCACTCACTTATTTTGTATAGCGGTGACTAGGTTGATGTTGCTGTTTTTAAAATGTACACATGTTGTTGCAAATGTCATGCGTGTCACTTCCAATCTTACTTAGATTTTAGGCCATTGTGAATAAGGAAGCTTTTGTTGAAGGATATCTAATATCTAAGATGATCTTTAAGGAGTTATGATATTATTGCACTTTCAGAAATTTCTGATTAGCAGCTTTGACAAAATTCTGATAGATATTTGCTATCTTGAGGACATAATTTACTTCTCACAGGTGTTAAACCTTGTAAGTTAATATTTGGCTTTGTTGCTTGATAATGTCTTTTCTTTTTAAGTATCCTGTTTTTTCAAGGTACAGTAAAGCGATGTTTTATCGGGCGTATGAAAAATCCGACTGAAATCAGGTACTTCAACTTGTCGCACCTGATCACTACTTTTATAACCTATGGATATGTAATTGTTCTAACTTATTTGACTCAACCCTTATATTCTAAATCTGTTTTAGAGAAAAAGCGCGTTACCTAAGTTTATGGGAACGTAACAAAGTATTGAAACTGTATGAAGCCGGCAAAGATATTGAATTCATCGCTAATAGTATAGGCCGGGGTACTGCGACTGTTTGGCGAATAATTTCTGGCACATGGAGACCGAAAAGATCTAATGTAACCATTATGGATCTGATCAAAGAGAGGCGCATGCTGCGTAAGGTGAAAGCCAATAGAAACAAAATTCTTAAAAAGTTGCGGTCAGCAAGATCAGATTCAGCATCTCACAGGAGTGATGAGGATGAAAATTCAATGAGATATAGTAATTCCTTTTTAAGCTTAATTTATTTTTTGTTGTACCATTTTGTGAATCGAACTTCTAGAAGTTGAATTAATATTCCTTGAAACACGTCCATTGATTTCCCACAGAAATATTTGGACCAGTATGACTTGGAACAGTTTTTTTCCAGTTAGTTTAGTACTTCCCGTTGATTTATTCTATTAAACGGAAATTTTCGGCCTCTCTTATCATGTCTGCTCATACCGCAGATGTTTTGACGATGTCTGTGCGTTAAGAAATCGGGAACTCATCAGCTTTATGTGCCTTAGATGCTCAGAAAGTGATGGTATTCCCACTAAGACCCGGACTTGACACCCCTCTTTCCGGACTCCAAAGCCACCAGACCACGATGAGTGCTGGCTTCGAGTCCCGATGGGAACACCATCACTTACTGGCGTCGCAGGCACATCTAGACGATGCGTCCCAGATAGGGTGGAAAGCGCATTTTGGATTCCACCGCTAGTCACCATATATCAAATGACATCAATTTATGTCTTCAGCTAGTTGTAACATTGTTAATCGTACCCAAGTAAGGAATTTATTTATCCATGGAAACAGTTATCCGTATACTGAAATCACTCAAAGATGATTAAACTAATCTTGCAAAGTATTTAGCTATCCTGACAATCCCAATATCCTTTGTTTGTCACAAACTTTTTGTTATGCAAGTCACTCATTTGTATTACTCAAAGCTCTTATGAGTCCATAATGCTATGCAGCAATGGACTAGTTGTTTTTTCTCACTTATTTCAATTTGGTTTAGGAGTTTGCGAACTAGTGAAATTATAATCACTATATTCAACAGCAAGCCCATACCTCTTCGCCTAACCTTTTTCAAACCTAACACTATATCACCTAACAATGCTCTATGGGGAAGGCGATAACTTGACGTGCGTAACACGTGCCTTAGGTATTCGGATCGATGCAGCTACCAAGCTTATCGCTTGACTTCCATGGCTTGCTTAATGCTACACTTAACCCCATTATTACTGAGTATACTTTACCACCTAAGACTAGAGACTGAACACTGGAAACTTCTCAGGCCATGTTACACAGCCATAAAAAAAGATGCGACAAACTGATTCACAGTCTGAATCATCAGTTCTCACAATTTTGGCTTCCAGTCTTACTTTCATTTTTTTCATTTTTTCATTTACTTCGGCTATCTCCTACGGGAGGATGAGCCGGCTTCATGAACATCTCGAATCATCGCTGCCCAGGCGCGGCAATTTGTAAGAGAGTTCATGAAGTTTCATGGGAATTTGGTACGAGTGATGTCCCCAGCATCGCTCGGCCTTTTTTTGAGAGTGCAGCTCTAGCCTTTACACAGCCAAGTGTGACCTACAAGGCAGTAGGAGTGGAGTAAGGAGTCCACTATCCATTGGCAGCCGGTGACCGGAGTTCGGTTCATACGCCTTTTTGAATGGGGCCAGACATCCAGGACATCCAACAAGCCCTTTGTCCATACGTCTGCCGGTGAGCTCCAGTGAGCTTCATACGCCAGTCGTTGGAGGTTTGGAATCAGGGTTTAGCCATCTCCCCTAAACCGTCATCCAATGGACAGTCAACCCGGTGGAGAGCGCCGGGCATCCGCTTTCGCCCTCTTACTTTGGTGAGAAACACCTCCGCCACGTGAAGGCAGTGAGTAGGACTTCCTCAGGAGAGGCTATGTAAGACGCCCGGTCATATGGGAGCATTTCAAGAGGTGTGCGGAGGGGTGGCCAACCCGCGGCGCAAGGCACCCACCCCCGACCATCCTGAGGCTTTGGAGGCTCCAGTCTTACTACTGACTTCTAACTAACTATTATGTAATCATAATAGGATCAAATGTACGACTGAACGCATACTATTCACTGTTGGGTGAGAAATCGAAATAAGCGTTAAAACGTTCTCCCTGTTAGCTAGTAACTTATAAAGTTAATAACCGCAGTGTCCTACGTAAACGCGCCGATTGCAATAATCCCCGTATGATTTCTTCTACTAAGAAACCTGTATTTTACAAAACTAGTTACTGTAATCGTTTCAGTTTTCATGATTGTTCTATGATAATGAAAGTTGGATGAAATAGCACATTGGGAATGTGACAGACAACTCCATCTTATTAACTGTTTTATGATTAAATTACAACTCATTGCTAACAATCACATCAAAGTACTCACATGACTTTGAGATTCTCAGTAGGCTTACCTTCATGCTTTTTTATTCTGAGGGTATTACTTCAGCAGCTTTATGGTAATGTTGCGTGCCAAGTGTTTCACAAGGGAAAGGTCACCGAAGTCTTTGAAATGAAAACAGGAGTAAGAAATAAGGCTGTCTACTATCATTGATTGTCTTAACGATTGTGGGGGATCGGACCATCCGAAAAACCTCAAGCAGTGAGAGGAAGTGCACACGTTGGGCAGAGCGAAAAACCATAGGAGATCTAGATTTCACAGACAAATGATGTCTCATGTTTCTTAAAGCGGAAATTTCGCAAGCTACACAAAGGTGCGACTTCAGGTGCTTGTGAAGAAGATAGAGGCGATAGAGATATCCGACCATTAACAACAGTCACTAACAACAATCTACGAATGTTTGGAATGCGATTCGCTCCCGCCAAATGCAAGATGATGTTACAGGACTGGACTACATCGACGCCTAGTTTAAAAATAGGAAGTGAAGTGGTAGAGCACGTTGACCGCTTCACTTATTTGGGAAGTACCATCAGCCCCAACGGGTTGATGTCTGACGAAATCTCAGCAAGAATACAAGGGGCTCGTTTCGCATTTGTTAGTTTACGCCGACTTTGGCGTAGACGAGATGTTCGACTATCGACCAAAGGGCGGGTGTACTGCTCATCAGTCCGCTCCGTCCTCCTTTATGGTTGTGAGACCTGGTCACAGAGTGGAAGACATGAAAAGACGAGCTGTCCTTGATCATAGGTGCCTGCGTTCTATTTCCCGTGTAAAGTGGCATAATAAGGTGAGCAACATGGAGGTTAGGCGTAGAGTTCTAGGTAAACAGGGGAAATCAATCGACGAAGTCGTGAAGCTACAAAGACTGAGATGGTTAGGACATGTGTTACGTATGCCAAACCATCGCCTCCCTCGACGAGCAATGTTAGCGGACATAGGGTCAGGCTGGAAAAAAGCTAGCGGCGGTCAAACAAAAACTTGGCATCAGTCAATGAAATCCACAACAGTTGGTCTAAGCCATGTAGAAAGGTGTAGACTTCCAGGCTGGGGTCCTCGGGACGGTAAAAATCTAAAGTTGGAAACAATTGGTGACATGGCTCAAAACCGTTCTCAGTGGCGCAGATGCATCCACTCCCTGTGACTTATGATCTTCAATGAAACTGTTTTGTATTTCTTTATTACTCCTTTGTCTCACACCTCTGCTCACTGTTTCTATTATGCTTTTCTTGCACTTTCTTCTCTTGCTTCGCGTGCTACACGGAATGTGGCGACTTGAACTGCCGCACATTTGTGCAAAGTTCTATGTCGAAAACAGACAGACAGACAGTCACTAACCATCATCATTGGGAGAAATTTGTTGGGGATCGTCTCACCTTTTCTGGCTAGGTAGCATCGTTTCAACTACTATCTGTCTGTTTTCGATATAGAACTTTGCACCGATGTGCGGCAGTTCAAGTCGCCACACTCCATGTAGCACACAAAGCAAGAGAGGAAGATAGAAGAAATGCATAATAGAGACAGTAGACAGAGGTGTGAGACAAAGGAATAGTAGTAACGAAGAACAAAACAGTTTCATTGAAAATCACAAGTCAACTACACATAGACCTCACGAACGACAATGTCAAAGCCAACAAGGATTGGATGAGGAATTTTGTATTAATATATTTATTAAGTGTATCACACGGTGAAATGTTATTATTGTCTGAGTGATGTCCAATCGATAATTTATCGTCCACAATCATATCAGTTGTGAATACACGACTTCGAAAATTGATTCTCATATTTCTCTCCCTTTCTTCTGTCGTAGAGGCAGAAGAATTTTCCAGATATCCGGGACAGGTGTTGAGTCATTTCTTTTGTGCGTACTTTCAATGGATTCGATACACAAATCTTCAGTTATCAATATTTGCCTCCACTCTGTTATATTCGATGTTAAGACTGCTATGTTGTCTCCATCTTATTTTATGGCTGTGTGCAAGTACATGCAGTGTTAAGGCTGAGCCATTTTTCTAGATTTCTTATCTTATCAAGGTCAATTAATTTTGATTTTGTTAGGTCTTCGTGCTCCACTAGTCTTATCGGTCCCATTCTACTACTTTGGAGCATATGTTTGACCTCACAACTATTTCAGGATATTAGATACACCAGATTATTTTGTTCAATGGGCTCCACAGGATCTATAAACCGAGATAATTTGTTTCTAAGTAATTTTTTGGGTTTGAATGCCACTTTTGTTCTCGCTTTGTTAAGAATTTTACGAAAGGTTCCTTCTTGTTATGGAAGCACTACTGGCGTTTTATATTCCTTATAGTTGGTGTTGTCACCTTTCTGGGGATATCTGTCATGCATGTCATCCTTCTTCTTCTTACCATTGTCACTCACTTTATTCCTACAATTTCGTACATAAGAGATTGAACAGTTTAATTAAATCAGGAATACAAAGATTAAATATGGCATGTTACCAAAAGTTCTCATCATGCAGAACCTCATCAAACATGTATAAGCTGTTTAAGTAAATCAACTGTAGTAAGCAAATAAATAATGATCCCTCTTCAGTTGATGCGTGTTCGCTCAATAAGTTCTTCATATTTCGTCCAGCAGACGTCGTGATCTCAAATATTATAAGTGCAAATAATGACTGCTTCTCCAGTTTTAATGCAGACGACATCCTGAAGTGTCTGAAATCCGTGAAACCTACCCAGTCTCTCGGTCTAGATGGTGTATCAGCTACTATCCTCAAAAAATGTGCTGACATTTTATGTTATTGTCTCACTGGTATTTTCAATAAGTCGTTTTCCGCTAATATTGTGCTTGCTTCTTGGAAGGACATTAAATTGTTCCTGTGCCTCAATTATCAAGTGGACCAAGTGTTAAGTTTAGACCTATTGGCATTACTTCACCCTTTTTTAAAATATAATAGAAAGACTGCTTTTACATAGCCTCTAATCTTCATTGAAGGCTTTTGTTATTATTACTATTATTATTACCAACGTCCCTGTTCAATTTGCATAAGAACACAGTAGGTGCACTCTAGGTGCCACTGTCGACCTATCTAATATTGTCTCTGATTTAGAGAGATTTGCCAAATATGTTCGGTGTGCTTTCCTAAATTACACATCAGCTTTTGACTATGTATCTAGGCCTACTTTGTTAAACGAGCTTGCTGCGACACAAGCAGGATGCCGGACTAATAAGTGGTTGCATTCCTATTTTCCTGATAGGAATCAGTACAGTGTTTACAATGCGAAGTCATTCGCCGCTCCATTTACTCTAGGTGGTGTTCCTCAATGAACTGTCTTTTCTGCTATCCTGTTTTCTTTCTTCTTACACGGCTTTCCCCGTTTTAAAGAAGCCGATGTTCATGCTGTCCCCATGTCGGTTACTCCTCAGATTCTTCCGAAATGAATAACATTTTATTAGAAATCAGTCAGTGGTCCTTTTCAATGCTCTTAAGCTAAATCCCTCTAAATGTCAGGTTGTTAATCTCACTTTCAGATGCAAGCACAAGTCACATGAACTGATTAGTTCGCATTGTTCTAGTATCACTGATGATACAGAAGTTGAAATTAAATCGAGTGTTAAATATATTGGACTGTGTATTTCCTCCGATCTTTTCTGGTCTTTCCACATCATGTTAGTTTTCAGAGAGGTAATATTTCGTTTAAAGTTCTACGTAAGGAAGTTAGGACAATCTGGTATCATTCAGTCTCTCCTTTCTAGGTCTGCTAATCCTTGTATTCTGCCTATTCCTCTTTACTGCTCCTCATTAATCTTTCCCAGTCTATTTAGAAAAGACTGTTATCCTGCCAAGGACATTAAGAGTTGTTAGTAGGGCGAGTGGGTTTTTGTTAAACCAACTCGTTAATACTGTTGTAGACAGTGGAAACATGGACTGCAAGTAATTAACAAATATTATCTTATTAAACCCTGAGCATCCTCTCTATACACAACTTTTTCTTTGCATCTGCCTGTCTGTCTGGATTCAACATAGAACTTGGCACCGAAGTACGGCAGTTCGAGTTGCCACGTTCCAAATTGCACACAAAGGTAGACAAGAAGATGAGTGAAGAGAATCAATAGAGTTTGACAAGTATAAGAGTGAAACAGAATGGGTAATGGTAGAAAGGAATATGAAAGATTACAGAAACTGAATACATCTGCGCTGGCGATTGACAACGATTTTGAGCCATGTCACCTATTGTCTCCAGCCATTGATTCCTAGAGTCCCGAGGTCCCCAACCCGGAAGTCTGCATCTCCCTACCTGACTCAGTTTAACTAACTGTCAAGGGTTTCATGGATTGATGCCATGTTTTTGTTTGGCCACCACTTACCCTTTTCCAACCTGTACCTATATCAGCTAGTAATACCCGTCGGGGGAGGCGATGGTTAGACATGCGCAGCACGTGACCTAGCCATCTCAATCTATGTAACTTTATAGCCTCGTCGATTGATTTTCCCTGTTTGCCCAACACTCAACGCCTAACGTCAACATTACTTACCTTATTACACCACCTAACGTGAGAAAGAGATCGTAGACATCTATGATCAAAAACAGTCAACCTCTTCATGTCTTCAACTCGTATTGGCCATGTTTTAGAGCCATAGAGAAGGACGGAGCAAACTGCTGAGCAGTACACACGTCCCTTGGTTGATAGCCGGGTGTCACGCCTACGCCAGAGATGGTGTAAGTCAGCGAAAGCAGCTCGAGCTTTTTGGATCCATGCTGAGATTTCGTCGCCAATCAGTCCGTTGGTGCTGATACAACTTCCCAAATAGGTGAAGTGGTCAACATATTCTATCACTTCACTCCCTACCACTAAACTAGGCGTTGACGTAGTTCAGTCCTGTAGCAGCATCTTACATTTTACAGGGGGGAATCGCATGCCAAACATACGAAGATTGCTGCTGAAGGTGTTCAGAAGACTGCATTTTGTCAGCATCCCCCCCCTAACAGGACTATGTCATCTGCATATTCTAAGTCCATAAGACCATTTCCTGGTAACAAGTCGATTACTAAGTCATTACGTTCAGTTAAGGATACTTCCATTAGCATATCTATGATGAAGTTGAACAGAAATGGGGAAAGTGGACATCCCTGTCGGACACCACTGGTTGTTATCAGTTCAGATGACAACTCACCATAAACCCTTACACGACTACGTGAGTTTGAATACAGTGCTTTGATAAGTGCAATGCACTTTCTTGGCACTCCCTTCACAGTCAAACATTGCCATAGTATTTTTCGATCCACGGAGTCGAAGGCCGCCTTCAACTCAAGAAATATGGTAATTGTTGGACGCCGAAAAGTGTGTTTATGTTCTAGATTCTGTCGGAGAGTGAAGATATGATCTATGCGCCCTCTACCTGGTCTAAAGCCTGCTTGATTTTCCCTCGTTTGTTCCTCCCGAATTCTGCTTAGTCTGTGCATGATTACTGAGCCTAGGATTTTAGAAACTATGTTGGTTAGGCTGATCGCCCTATGATTATCACATGAGGACTTGTTTCCCTTCTTGAATATCTGTCTGTCTGTTTTTGACATAGAACTTTGCACAAATGTGCGGAAGTTCAAGTCGCCACATTCCGTGTAGCACGCGAAGCAAGAGAAGAAAGTGCAAGAAAAGCATAATAGAAACAGTGAGCAGAGGTGTGAGACAAAGGAGTAATAAAGAAATACAAAACAGTTTCATTGAAGATCATAAGTCACAGGGAGTGGATGCATCTGCGCCACTGAGAACGGTTTTGAGCCATGTCACCAATTGTTTCCAACCATAGATTTTTACCGTCCCGAGGACCCCAGCCTGGAAGTCTACACCTTCCTACGTGGCTTAGACCAACTGTTGTGGATTTCATTGACTGATGCCAAGTTTTTGTTTGACCGCCGCTAGCTTTTTTCCAGCCTGACCCTATATCCGCTAACATTGCTCGTCGAGGGAGGCGATGGCTTGGCATACGTAACACATGTCCTAACCATCTCAGTCTTTGTAGCTTCACGACTTCGTCGATTGATTTCCCCTGTTTACCTAGAACTCTACGCCTAACCTCCATGTTGCTCACCTTATTATGCCACTTTACACGGGAAATAGAACGCAGGCACCTATGATCAAAGACAGCTAGTCTTTTCATGTCTTCCACTCTCAGTGACCAGGTCTCACAACCATAAAGGAGGACGGAGCGGACTGATGAGCAGTACACCCGCCCTTTGGTCGATAGTCGAACATCTCGTCTACGCCAAAGTCGGCGTAAACTAACAAATGCGAAACGAGCCCCTTGTATTCGTGCTGAGATTTCGTCAGACATCAACCCGTTGGGGCTGATGGTACTTCCCAAATAAGTGAAGCGGTCAACGTGCTCTACCACTTCACTTCCTATTTTTAAACTAGGCGTCGATGTAGTCCA